AAGCAAGCCACGCAGGAGTATCTGAAGGAGCTGACGGAGAACTCTAACTTGAGTCGGAAAGAATACGGCACGGTGATGTCCTCGGAGGCAAAAGAAATTGGGCTGGAAAACCTGCTAGAAATCTCTTGGAGGGCGGCCCTCCAAAGATATTTCGACGAGACGATGCATGCGCCTGCGACGGTGGCATCATACCTGGCCGATTTGTGTGCAAGAACTGACTTGCAGGTACGACTAGTCTGTTGTTTGACGGGAATCAAGAAAGCGGAATATGGAGCCGGCAATGACTCGAAATCAAAGGAACAGGAACTGGAATTGATAGAAGCCCTGCGAGTGTTGAATTCTAGAGACGAATCGGCGATAGCCTTGGGCTAAGCGTAAAGATGCCGTTTGCTTTGTGAGGTTCGTGGTGGATCGTATCCCCACTCCTGTGTTGGAAGAAGATGTGTTGCATAAAGACCATTCGGCAAGCGGAGTTGATCGTGAACGAAACTTTCTGAGGGCACTCCTAGAGCTATATCAGGACATGCCGCTGGCCATACCAAATAAGGAGTCGAACGACATGGAAAGACCAACAAAGAGTTGAAGGTGAGCCGGGAGTTAATTGAAGCAGTCAGGTGACAGAAGGACTATGCAACACTTGGGAAGTTGAAGTCATTCCAATGTGTGTCTGGCATACCATGGATGGCGTATAATCCCTTCGTGATTGAGGAAGCCAGGGAGGCATACTTTGACTATGAGCAAGTTTTGATACTTGATTTCTGGGTTGAGCGAGTCAAGGAAACTGGCATGTTGATGATGGAACAACCCAAGCTGGGAATCATTTTGGAGGATTGAGTGATCGAACCCTCGGTTCCCGAGCTAAAGGGGCAGGTGAGCTTTGATTGTGGTTCTTGGGAAGATCCCTTGAAGACTAGCTTAGTAACCATGTGGGAGCTCATGAAGCCTTCTTGGTGTCCACATTAAAACGCAAGTTTAATCTGGGACATGACAGCCGATGTCACATTGGACTTGGATGATGACGCGAGTCTACACGTTTTGGTCATGATACACTATCTGCTGGCCCTGAAGATAACGAAACAGAAGAGCAACCCATCCACGGAACCTTCCGAGGGAAATCCCTCCGGCGATTGGTTGAGACAGGGCACCTGTCTAGCTCACAGTAGTGGAATGGGCGGACACGTGTGCGACTCAGGGCATTGCTTGAATACGCTGAGTGAGCAGCATCGCCTGCTGGCTCAATTGTATGGGAGGTTGAGCATGATGGACAAGAGTGGAATGGAGATGATTGCGGACTGTCATGGAGTAACGGAAGTGAACTTGATCACTGCATTGGGATTTTGCAGCAAGACGAGCTCTATAGAATCACTGGAACGCCTAGAGCGTGCCAATGGGCTAGTGACGTCCCGTAGTGTGGAAGTGTTCCCTGGAGCGCTGCAGACTGAGAAAAAATTGGAGGTTGGCGAGAGGTTCTGGAGAAGGAGATGAACTTGAAGGACAGTGAGGCCTATCATAGACCTACTGGTTCGAGATATCTGGTGGGTTCGAGATCTGCACCATATTGCAATTTTAGGTACCCTACGCACATGGTGGTGATGGACGCTAGGACACAGCAGGTGTTGGTCGACCAACTCTTCTCAGTGCCAAAGAGTGTGAGGTTGGCCAGGATGCCAGAAAGGTCATATGATTTGCTGACGAAGATCATTCGGGCCGTTCCGAAGAGATCTGAAGGCGAGTTGCAAGACACGTAGTGGGTGAAGAATTCATGAGGTTGAGTGAGGGTAACGTGAGTGAATTCCAGAAGAAAAAGGCGAGCGGAGCGTTACCCACTGAATTCCCCACCATGGATGAGAAAGACGATATACACAGGATTATGATGGAAGTGGAACCATTGATGGGAGCTTCAGGGTATCGGACCCGAAGGAGCATATTGATGACCCATGGGGAGTATTCTTGTCACTGCCTGGCGCAGACGTTATGGTACCCCAAACGCGGGAATCCGGGGTTAGTGTGGGACGTGGAGAAGTTGTACTCCGCGAGGTTGCCCGACAAAAATCAACAAGTGTCAATCGTGGTGGTTAGTTCCATGCTGGCGGTGAGATGGTTGGAAGGTAACGTGGGCACAGATGAGCAGGAGACGGCCGCGCCGACACCTGAGCAGCTAGGCAACGTGAAGATGAACCGCAACTTGGATCTTTTCAGAACCACCTGCAAGGTTCTAAGAATACCCAAAGCCATTGAGAGGATATGGTCAAGGCAAAGGTTGATGCCTTGGTTCCATGCAGTGATGACATCATGGATGTATGAACGCGCGAAGTGTCATATGTCTAGGAACACGGAAGCCTATCAATGCTTCCAGCTAGATAAAGGACTGGGAGCCTATAAGAGAATATTCCTAACGCACAGAAACGCTGTTACCACGGCGGTGAAGCGAGCATCTGGACCTCCTTGTGTTACTGAGGCTGAAAATAGAGAGGTCTTACGAGCTGACCTAGAACGGAATGTGAGCCTGTGTCTGCACAACAGCTTTTGCAGGAACCGGAGCAAAAGCTGAATGTGGACTTTCTACCTTGCTGCAAACCGAGGCTGTTAGAGCAGGAGAGTTGGGGGACGGCCCGCAACTCCGTGGACATGCTGGAGAAGGTTCTAGAAGACAGTGAGAGCGAGGATCAAGAATATGAAGCAATGGAGTGATGAAGACGTGACGAGAGAGAAAATTGAAAAGTGAAGAGAGAAGGAGAAAAACTTGATTTTCCTTGTGTGCTAAAACTTATACCAATCAACCAGGTTTGATTATTGAAGATGTTAAACTTTTGTTTGATTTAGTTTGGTCAGATCAGGCTTTGAAAACTGGTAAATTGTAGCAATTTTTGAATGGCAATGAAAATTTTAGTTGTGCTATTTATATATATGGAGAACATAGGTGAGTATATTTGCCTATTTAAACACGACTGAAATTTTTAACCTGTGTAAGACACGTGTTCACTGTATGGCGATCTGGTAGGTTTGGGTACGCTCGCTCGAAGAGGGTGAGTACCTCATTACCTTTCCTTGCCACGGATTTTCTTAGTTTTAATATTGAGGACGACAGTATAAATAACTGATTATACTTAGTGAGTGACTTCTGGTTAATTTTAACGGATTCGTGGCCGTGCCACGTCCCAAATTTTTAATCAAGCAAGAGCGAGAAGAAATTTTATGGCGAGATTACATAAGTGGTCAGAAAAGAAGTTTTGTCTAGGACACTCCTCATGGTGCAAAGTTTGTGAAAATGTTGAAAGGCAGTGAGATGTAGTATGATGTAACACACGTGGTGAGTTGAGGTAGAGTAGATAATTTACATTTTCCAATGCGATTTGTAAGGTTGATTATAGAGAAATGGAACACTACTTGACGATAACCCGGTGTTATGCGATCAATGGGGACATTGATGGGGACTGTCCGGGGAGTATGTGCCATTCTGCCAGATTGGCACAGCGCAACCTTCCGGCACGACACGAAATTAGAAATAGAGGCGTTAGCGATAAAAAACTGTAGCGAAGGAGGGTCAGAATATTCTGGAAGTTTTATTTTCAAAAATTCGGTTGTTGACGACACATTTCTCAGAAACGCAAAAACGGCCATTTTGAGCCGAAAAGTGACAAAAAAAAGAACAATTGCTGAAAAAGTTGAAATAGCTGACGACGTTATTACAGAAAAAGCACGGAATCGGAGGCTCGGCCCCCAAGAGACAATATAAGGTGAAAGAGTGTAAAGAACTGACTTTTTAGCTACCTTGGTGCCATAAACCTTTGAATTATCACTGGTATTATCTGTCATTTTAAAATATCAGTAGCTAGAAAGAGGAAAGGATCAATCCGTCTCCAATGGATTTAATATAGAACTGTCGCCAAAAACATAGTAAAGTAAGAATATTCGAGCCGTTTTTTTAATCACAATCACGTAGTCTGAGGATCCGAGACCCAGCTATGTGGTTGTGTTTGCATGTAAACGAAAGCTGATTGAAAATCGTTTGACTGATGGCCTAAAAATAGTAATTTTTTACTTAGCCCTAGACAGACCAGAAAATCAACTGGCGAGGTGGAGACGGTGAAAAACGAGAAGAATTTAGGTAACTGACGCCGGCCAGTCGTTAATAGGTACTTTTTCTACGCTCCGTCACTGTGTAGTATTTGGGCGAATGTTACAGTCAAACACAGAGAAGTCAAATCCTCTCTCGCTATTCGATGAATAGTTGAGAATGCACGTAGTCTCGCTCTTTTTAACGAAATCGACACGCCATTACATAAATTCTGTAAACTTGACAAGATTTCTCAACTCATTTACGACACCTGAAACCCACTTATGACACACGAGAATTTGTGATCCTTCTTTGTCGATGAAGAAAACTACTCGACAACACAAGCAACTGTTTCTTTCTCTTTCTTTACGCAACCACTGCTTCAAAAGATTCTACTCCCAAGAATCAAGAAACTTCTCCATCCATCGTTCGCAAAGAACAAACTTTAAACTTAAAAACTCGCTAAACCCCGGATGGGTGGAACCAGTTTAAAACTAAAATTTACATCCAATTAGAATAATGATAAAACTATCTCTATAAAAAACTTCTCACTAAACAATCATGATACATAACTACCTTTTACAATAATTTATAGTTTCAGCAACAGAGCAGAATGAATATAACTTAGCAAACAGTTGCTCTTCCTTATAACAGTTCTTCGTATCTAGCCTCGCAAATACCAGTATACACAAGATCTATTGAGACTAGGGGGTATAAGAGTAAGGTTAAGATTGGTATTAGACTAAGAAGTTGCACGAATCTATCCGGTCGAACATAAGATAGCGTGACGAACAGACGGTGTACCTTAGCTGAAAACACTCTATGAATGAGTGAGCCACCCCGGACTTAATTCATTAGAAATTTTTTTTGGGGGTTTTTATTCTATAAACTATGAAAGTTTCGGCAGTCATAAGCATTTTTTTATGAAAAAAGCTTCACCAACCTGGAGTTGTAAAATCGTTCGATGTTTCAGCGTCGAAATGTCCCAACAGACCGTCCATGTTCATTTTGAACTCAGCGGGTGGTGAGACCACAAAGTTTATGAACTTTCCGGTCACCAAAATTTCTATAATCAGATTGTTTTCCTGCAAAGTAAAGCTGAAAAAAGTGTTGTTTTCGTTCCGCCGTATGATGAATCCAAATAGAATGAGCTCTCTAGGACCATCGAGCGTCATCTTGTTTCCGTTCAATGCGTACGAAAACTCTCCTCTTGAGTTTATATAGCATTCAAGGGAGTTATCTTCGAACGAAACAGCAAGTCCGGAGAAAACGGATCCATCGCCCAGTCTTCGCATGCTGGCTTGAACTACTGTCGAGTTCTGAAGAGAAGTCTCGAGCATGGTGTAAACTCCGACTCCCATAAACGCATATGGGATTCCGTCAATAGTGACGAGGTGTGGGTCTCCTCGCAAAAGAACAGCTCGGTTGGGTCGGTACATCCCAGGAATCGCTGGACGATGTTTTCGCGTGATCGGATACCCTTCTGGAGGCGGAAGTTTCTTGCAAGTCTCCAATGGACGCAGATCTTTCGAATAATGCGAAGGCATGTTTGACATGGAGTTTACTTCCAAGTTCAGACGACCTGCGCCAACTAAGTCATCTTCACGAATCAATGCACCATTTCTGCTGTAACAGCACTGGTTAGAAACATATATGAGTTTCTGCTCATTTTGCTCTGTACATGCAAGCCTCGGTGATCTGATACAAAGACTAGCACCTTCGTTAAATTCACACATAGTGTCGTCGCAGAACCCTATCATGTTTAGCTCCTCTCTCTGGGCAGTGTCGTCTGAGCAGCAAATATCGTATTCCCACCCATTCAGTCCGTTCTCAACTTCTTGTCGGGCCCACCAAACGTCGCTTCGCCAGGTAAGCCACGTGGCAACGTCGTCTCGATGCATGGGGCACCCGAACTTCCTGGACAAGTCCTCGACACACGACGAGTAGTCCTTTCGGCTCTCGGATTCGTCCCACTCGTGACACATTTCGGCCGTCAAAGCCATAGGAGACTCGACTTTGATCGGATGGGAATAGGAGAAATCTAGATTAAAACTTATAGTTTCATCATAGTTCCGACCGAAAAACAAAAAAGATAAACTTGTCAATTGCATAAAAATAAAAAAGCAAAAAGGCAACAAAACATACTCTCTCTATATATGGCATAATCATTACGAGCAAAAATTCCAGCTTTGCGTCAACGCATAATCATTACAGATTGAATTGATGCGCGCGAACTGATGCAACCAGTGAGTTATTTGCCTTACATTGGGTTTAGATGAATGAGTTTTTGCTCTGCTTCGACCAGTTTTGTTTGAAGTTTAGTGTATGCTTACGAGATGATTTTGTTCCTTGCATATGAAGATTTTCGATACTTTTCTGAAAACAAAACAATATTCTGCCGCTCATTTTTAAGGAGAACAAAGATAGTAAGAGTCATTAAAAATAATCATATTAGTACAAAAATAAGAGTTTTCTTATATAACTTTTTCTCATTAGGAGGGAAACTTGAATTTAACAAAAACCAAAAAAAAAAATTTTTAAATCAACTTCATTAATTTAAGGCTCTAATTATTATAGGGGTAAGTGCCCCTCCCACCTCGAGAAAATCCTAGATCCGCCCAAGTATTGTGGAACCAGATTAAAACTAGTATTTCGTTATAAGTTAAATTCTTCACTGTAAAATATTAAAAACCAACCAATCATGATTCACAACTAAAAAATGAAACACTAAAAGTTCAAATAAACCAGTAAAAGACTTCTCAAAGTAAAAACACGACAGCAAAAGGGAGATGAAACTCAAAGACATTGCAATCACGATATGGTGAATCTATTGGTTTTGCTTGCCGAAGACACAACCCTCCTTGGATATAAAGCGTGGAACTGACATCGCAGCGAAGGAATCCATTGAACCAGAACAATGGCCAAGTCGATGTCTAAAACTCAAAGTCACTCAGAAAAGTGTACGTTCTATCTTACTAACCGATCAACCACGAACGGATAGTGGGAATGCACGTACTCTCGCTCTTGTCTACGAAATCAGCAGTCTACAAAATTTTTGCACTTCGACAAGATCGCCTCGGATTCACTATAATCCCACAACTCCACCTTGAGAACTTCGCAGGACTGGCTATTCTACCCACTACACTACTTCTCGACACAAATACTCAACTAAAACTGAGAAAACCTCTTTTATCCATCCCTCACAAGAAAGACTTTTGTTTCAAAAAATATCCAAAATCTGGATGACTGGAACTAGATTGAAACTAGTTTTTTTCTTTGTGTGAAACTCTTCACTGTAACATTTTAATAACTAACCAACCATGATCCATAACTAAAACTTAATATAGTTTGTACAAGCTGAAACTATCCGTATTTTCAGCTCAGATATTAGTTTAACAATATCAAAGAAAGTTGCTTTCTTCTTTCCTGAAGCCTCGCATAAAGCAGTATATTGCTAGATCTCAGGAGACTAGGATACAAAAAAGTAAGATTAAGATTGGTAATTGACCAAGAAATTGTACGAAGCTATTCGGCCGAATATAGTTAGCGAACCCGCACTGATGTTTCATGGATCAAAATCAATTTATAGTGTCATTTTTAGTCAGTATCCATAAAATTACAGGAGTAACTGTTAGAATCCATTAAAAATGGATTATAACCCTAAAAATTTTCAAATCAATATAATCCATCATAATCGATTATCATCGATTATAATGGATTTTTTGAGACATCATTTGTGAGTTTTGCAAGTCTTGCAAGACATCTCACTTCCTGTTTAGTGCTAATGATACGGATTACATAAATTCACATACGATTTTACTCGTTTAGTTTTCTCTTTTTTTCAATTCGGCAGTTTAACATTTTATTTAACTGTTAGTTTTTTTTACTATCGCCATAATAGAAATTTACCAATCGCCAACTATCCCACGCCGGACCTCTCTCTCCAAAAGCCCGCCTACTGCCTCTCCCCCTCCCCCTCCTACTGCCCCTCCCCCGCCCGCCTACTACCCCTCCCCTCGCTTGAACGAGGGGGTTATTTAATGGTTGAAGGCGGGGTGGGGGGATGGTGCTACGGGAGGGGGATCTTTCTACGGGGGGTGGTGTTGGTGAGGGGGATATGCAAGGGAAAACCTGGGACACACCAAAACTTGCGTTTCAGTACCTGAAACGCACACGTTTATGCATGTCCCAGGTCTTCCTCCACCATATTTTGAGAAACAAAAATCAATTAGTTTACAAAATTATTTTTTTTTCGGAATTTGGTGGGGAAAAGCTGGTAACGTGCGTTTCAGTGGTTTAAGTATTTTAACAAGTTGCTGTCATTTTGATGTAATTGTGCAAGCTTCTCATCAACGTGTTTCAAGAGTTTAATTAGCTGTAAACATTTAAAATTGATATTCATGATTATACCGTCAAAATAATAGAGTTTAATGAAGTTTTAAATATGGAAATTAATCTATTATAGTCCCCTAAAAATCCATTTTCATTGTTGGATGGGTCATGAAAATCGATTATATGGGTAACTTTTCTTGCTGATATAATCCATTACAATCGACTTTTTTCCATGAAACTCCTGAAACCAGATCTAAACTAGTATTTATCATTGGTTATTATTATGAGATTTTATCTGTATAAATATTAAACACTTACCAATCATACTACATCAAACTAACAACCCACTTACTTGTAAAGTGTTGAAACTACTTGTAGTTTCAACACCAGAGCAATTTAAATTAAACTTAGAATACAGCTGTTCTCATTCTGGAACTAACTCGCATAAACCGGTGTACACTAGATCTATTGAGACTAGGAGATATAAGAGTAAGATTAAGATTGGTATTAGACTAAGAAGTTACACGAATCTATCCGGTCGAAAATAAGATAGCGTGACGAGCAGACGATGTACCTTATCTGAAATTAATCTATGAGTTATAACCAAAAGGATATAACTCATCTGGTGCGATCAAAAAGTCTCGAACAGACCTTAATTAACCTAGATTTAGAAAAAATAGATTGGGATTAGACAAATACAACAATTAAAAAAGGTTATTGGACAAAAATTTACTAGAATTGTCTCCACGACTCAATAGATCAGAGCCAATTTTCCGAACAATACGAGAACTACCAGGTATTGGAAGAAGACCTCGGACAAGAGACGACGTACGACCAGGGAGAAATCTACCAATCGATTTCATGATTGTACGACAAAAACGAGATCAAAATTTTATATTTAGAATACTTCCAGCAGTAAATTTAAATTTTGTTTCACTGAAATAAAAATTTGAAAAAACATCTTCAAAAACTTTCATGGCGCTGAACCTATCAATTCTACAATAACGATTGATAAAAACAATTCTAGTCGTTCTCCTTAAAACTCTCGAGTATTGAAAATATCTTGAAAAAATTTTTTTTGAACATAAAAAACAAAAATTAGTTAGTATATATATAAATCAACCAATCATCCCAGTTTCATCACCTAAAACATAACAGCAAAACTCAAAACATTAACATCATCAAAACTAAACACTTAATCTTTAATTCATTTAAACCTTTACCTAAAAGTTATCAAGGCTCATCCTTGTTTTCACTTAAATTAATTTCATTTAAAACAACAGATCGTCAGGGCTTCCCTTGGATCTTTATATTAATTTCACTTAAATTAAACTAAATTATTTTTATCTAAATATTCTGACCATCAAGGCTTCCCTTGGATCTTTAAATTAAATTAAACTAAATCTAAATATCTGATCATCAAGGCTTATCATTGGATCAAATAGAACAATTTTGTTCTCCCCTCCCCTTTTATTTAGTTTCTAACGACCTCAAACGTCGATTCACTACCCAACCTTTATCAAAAGACCCAGTATTATCAAAAAAAATTCGAAAAACTAAGCATTTTAATTAAGCTTAACAGTCAAAAATTTCGGTTACTCATCCTTCACTTGAACCTACTCCTCTTAGATGACCCAGGCTAAAACACTTAAACTTAGTAGGTCATAAATTAGTATCTAACGAACTACTTGCGTTCTAATTTTACCTGAACCTTGTGGATCCATTTACTATTCTGCAACCCTTGATCACAAATCACAACCCCTAAGTAAGATTAGGTAGGTATATCTTAGCTTAGAATTAGTCACGAGAAAAAAATCATTCTCAGGAATCAATATATGCTTTTCTCTCCAACCCAACAGTACGACCCAAGTTCAGCTAACCACAAAAGAATGTAAGAACTAACAGTTTTAGACATTAGAAATCATTAACCCATGTATTGCATCCATCATCTTAAACCTTACGTCAAGAGACAATTTAGGAAACAAACAAAAAATCTTAATACACAATTGTTTAATTAACGACGAAAAATACGAACTCTTAATCACACCACACAGACAAACAGTAGAATATATAAGAACAAAAAGACAAACACTAAGAAAGAAAATTATTAACAAACAAAAACAAATTATAAGGAAACGATTTTCAAAATGAAGAAACGCAAGTACCAAAAACTGAATTTAAAAGGCGACACAAAATAAACTACAGACACTCCGACAATCGTTGTCCTTAAATGTTAGACCCCATTGTGAGCACAAAAAAATAAAGTTTAAGACACAAATTGCACGAAAAATCCTCGAAAAACAGGCCAAAAATGGCACAATTTTTTATGGACTTTGTAGATCAAATTTTTCAACTTATTCGAGATCTTACTTGTGAGACGGAAGATCTAGCCTAAAGACCCAAATTAGTTAACAAAAGCAGCCCCAAAACATCTACATGAGAAAAATTTGCGTCCCAACCCAAACCTCTGAAGTCCACCAAAAAGCAAGGAATTTGGGCATGTTTTTCCAATTTTTTCAAAATTAGGGTCGAAAAATCAAAACTTTAGGAACGTTGGACACTAGAGATGACGATGGCTATGACTAGGATAAAAAATTAGATGGTTACAGTTTAAATTGCGCTAGGGAGAATTTTTTTAGGATTTCAATATAATGAAAAACATAGAAAATGCAGAGTGAAAAAAAAAAATTGTATACTAACAGACCTTGA